CCGCGCACGCCCATCGCCAACACCGACACGGGCACGTCTCCCCCCGGGACAAGGCGCTGCACGGAGCCGGGGGCTGGCCTGCCCCGCTCACCGGGGAGAGGGCGAGGGTCCCGGCACCCGCCCCAGGCCGTTCCCCGCCGCCTGTCCCCGCTCACCCATCCGCCGTGCGCCTCCAGCCACTCGCCGCGCTCCTCGGCCAGGTAGGCGGCCAGGTGGGCGGCCAGGCAGCGCGGCCCGTCGCCGCAGCCCCGCTCGGCCAGCGCGGCCGCCAGCGTGCCGGCGAACACCACGAGCGCCAGCAGCCGGCCCCAGTTGAGGCCGCCGTCGGCCTCCAGCTGCGCCGCCACCCTTCCGAGCAGCGCGGCCGCCTCCCGCGGCTCAGCCCGCGCCAGCGGCGCGCAGGAGCGGAAGAAGGGCCGCTCCTGCCGCTCCAGCTCGGCCGCCGCCCGCCGCAGCGCGGCCGCCGTGGGGCTGGGGGGCAGCGCGGCGCCGCCGCCGCGGTGCTGGAAGTAATCCTCCAGCAGCAGCGCCGTCTCCTCCTTCAGCGAGCGCGGCATGGTGGCTGCCCACGGCGGCGGCCCCGCAGCAGCAGCAGCTGCCGCCGACTAAGAGGCGGGGCGGCCCCTCCGCCCGGCCCGGCCCGGCCCGGCCCGGCCCGGCTCGGCCCAGCCCGCCCCGGGAGCTCCCCTCCTCCGGGGCGGGGCCAAACCGGGGCGGGCGGGCGCGTTCCCATCGGGAGGGACCGCCCGCATCCCTGGAAAGGCATCTGTGGCACATCGCTGCGGGCCTCGCTGGGCAGCCGAGGGACACGCTCAGTTATCGGGTGCTGGCTCTCCAATACTTGCTTTAATTCCTTTTGGGTTTTGTTTTTGTTCCACATTAGTGGCCCGCCCGAACCTGTATTCTTTGCATCAAAGGAGATGTAGGTTTTCCAGGATCATGGGGTGAATGCAGTATGTATTTAGCCAGCAAATGCAGTGGCTTTTTGATGAGCATACAGGCAATATATAGCATTAGGACCTTCATGGTGCAAAGGTCGGGCCCTTCACACTGCTGGTGTAAAGTAAAGCGGCTGAGAACACCGTTTGTTGAGGGTGTCGTGTCACAGGGCACGGAACTGCACGGCAGGACACGTCCTTTGCACCCCGCTGTGCCCCGGCAGCTCCGAGCGCCGCCGGCTGCTTCCCAGCCATCGCAACTCCCTGAATGTCGCCTCAGGATAGGTGGCACAGGTACAGACACAGGTACACCCAGCCTGTGTGTCCTGCTCGGTGCCGTTCGCAGGTGAGGGGTTGATGGTGGCATGGGGCAGAGGTGGCTGTGACCGCACTGTCACACACCGCCCTGCTGTGCAGAGCACTGCCGCAGCTCCTGGCACCGCGGCACGCTCCCACCTCTCGTCCCACAGCCACCTCAAGGTGCCTAACAGGACTGCTTGGCTTCACTCCATCTGTCTTGAGATACAGCTGTCTCCATTTCACATCCCCATTAGAAAATCTAAAAATAGGTAGTTGGAATCAATCCTGTTGCAATTTCTCAGATCGCTATCAAGAATTGGCCTGATTGGCCCTTAGAGTCCCTCCTAAAGCAAACTTTAGTTCTACATCCCCGTATTTGGCTTTTGTTGTTTTGAAGCAGGGAAATACAGTCTGGTTATGTGCTAGAGCAGTGGCTGGAATGAGATCTTTACTTTTCACAAGAGCTTTACACACATGCTTTTCAAACTATTTTTCCTTATGGTTCTTAATCCTGGAGCAGGAATTTCCTATTGCATTCCTCACAGCAGGAGTGCAAGAGGGAGAGGCTGCTCTTTCTCTAGCAATATCCTTTTCCACCCTTCCTGTTTATATAGCATTTTTGTTTAACAGGACAGAGCCATCTGACAGTGATGGCCCCAGCTACAGCTCCCTTGTCTGCACACGTTTATGGAATAGAGGTGTTTCTGGCACAAATAGCTTGACATACCAACAGGGAAATCTCGAAATGCTGGGCTTTCCAAAGCCTCCCTGACAGCCTTTAGTGAGTAAAAAACACAATGGGTACTTCAGTGTCCTGTTCCTCTAAGTGTCGTTTATCTGATGGGAAGTTGAGGCCCATCCTGGTTCGTGTTTTCACCATTACCTCAGGAACAAAGAGGTGATTTTCACAGGTGGCAAGCCCATGCACACACAAAGGCAGTGGCCCTGAAGTGCAAAACCCACAGCATTTCTCCGTGCAAGAACAGAAGTGCAAGATGCAATATCAGACTCACTTTCACTGGATCTGGTGACAATTTGGACACTGATGTCACTCAGAACAAGCTGGCTGAGCACTTTCCCCGGGCCCTCAGAAGAGGGGAAATGAAACAATGCACCTAAATGAGGAAGGTGCTTTTTTCAGTGACTAAACTGAGCGCTTCCACCAGCTACCTTAAGGCTGACCATATAACCTTCACTGAAATGGAGAGGAGCTGGCCAGTTCTCAGTTGTCTCAGTTCTCTCCTGACTAGGCAGAAAGCTGAACTGCTGCACCTCTAGGTCATCTGCACAGCTGGTTTACCCAAAAAATCACAGCCTGGGCCCTCAGCAGAATTTCAGTGCCTGGCTTTTCACTGGCATGCAGCTGCAACACAAGGAGCTCCCAGAAAACATATACTCTGCATTTTCCAGTTCCTTCCTGGGTATGGCAATAAAGATCTGCAAAGAAAACATTACATTAGCTGTGATCCTTCTAAGCAGGAAAACAAACTGAACTCTGGCCTTCTGAATGCGGGGCATTTCAAGTACTTTCCTGGGCTGCTCACTCTCATTTGCTATGGTGCATCTTGGGTATTTCCAGAAGCAATTTTCTGGTAGATCTGGATTTTACCCGAGATTTTTGCAGGAGAAATCATTTAAGAAACTGTGTGGTGCAAAAAGTGTATGTCAAAAAAAGCAGAAAACCAAACAGCTACCATTACAAATACCTAAGCAATGGGAAGAACTACTATATACATGTTGTCAATATGTAAAATACAATTTATTGTATTTAGGCTGTTCATAAATATCAACACAATGTGTTATGTTTGAAACAAACATCTCGCCAATAAATACTATCTAAACATTAATATTAATCTTTTGATCAAATGTGTACAGTGTATTGACTCAATATTGCACAGTGAGTTCTATATGACATTTCCATAGTGCATTCAGTTTGTTACAGGGATAGTTGGCCACAAATATTGCAAAGCATCAGAGTTGACTTTTCCAAGTGAAAACAGCTTCCATTAAGGATGGAAGGCTGGTATAAAAGTCAGTGTCTTAGGTTAACTGGTTATGGATTCACAGAACCTAATGTTAATGGATGAGGAGACTTTGTTTCAAATATGATTTTTACATAATTGTAAAAAAATACCACTTGCAAATAGAATGAGGATGTTCTCATTAAACTCCAGTCACCAGTGAGCTTGTAAACAGGCTCATTCCAGTAAGCTTGTCTTCTCTTGTTCCAGTCTAAATATAAATCGTACATATGATCTATTCAGAGCTGTACCTCACCACCTGCACTTCAAAGGCCAGGCTGTGCAAGCCCCCAGCATTACTCCAGCTCTGCTCCCCATGCACTCAGGTGAGACTCAGTACCTGTAGGTAGGAGCAGAACTGACACATTCTAGTCCCAATAGTTTCAATGTATGAATGCAGATATAATCTCACAATAGTTCTATAATTAATTGTATCTCATCTTTATCTGATTCAATCTTGATTCTAGAGCATCACTTCTGTGTGGGGTGGTCTTGCCAGTCTGTATGGCATTCCCATGCTCGCACAGAGGGCTGGGTGCTGCCAGCAATGTGGTCAGCTGTCCTGCTCTCCTGAAAACCAGTGACTCCTGCATCAGATGGACTCATGTGCTCTGGTCAGCACTGTATCAAACACTGGCAGGACTGTGGCTCACAGATTTTCAACAGCTCACTGTTATTCACTCTCCAGTCCAACTATGACAAAACCATGTCCGTGGCAGTGGGAGATGACAGTGAGAGTAAGGACTGTATGATTTGACCAGCATTTGCATGAACTTACAACTGCTCTGACATTGCAGAAGGACCTTAAGATGGGCATATACTGCTTGAACATACATTTAAGCTACATTGTCTTGCCAAAGTTGTATGAACTGCTCAAAATGCAAATAAGAATCATGGCCATAGAATGACTATGATTGACTTGGAAAAGATTTGACCATCAGTATAATGGTGCTCAATGCTTAGCGTGTAGTATCCCTTAGTGCTTAGCATGTAATATTTCTTTAAGTAAAAGAAAATTCACTCACCAAGTGATACAATTAAAAATTTCTAAGAAACTACTGGTTAAGTATTACCTCATGATTATGTAAATCATGTTTATATCCCTCCTCTTTGCTGTTTATCAGTTCGTATATATTTAGATTCTTTATATTCAGGTAACATGAATGAAATACTTATTTCTATCTAAAAAGACAGTAGGAAAAAACAGGGATTGAAGGGATTTTCTTCTGTACAAAAAATACATTTTTATGACAGTAGCCAGTACCTTCACAGTAGGTCCTTTGCTCCTCTACTTACCACCAAGGTTCAGTCATCCATAACACCATAAAATATCAGAATTGTTTCTCTTTCCATTTTTCAACACCAAAATTCAATATGCTACTACGGAATGTTTCCAAAGCCTTTCACTATAACCCAATAAAATCAGGACTTTTTTCTTTTTTACTTTTAAAAGGAACTAAATTCATGCAAATAAATACATAATGTGCACTGAAATACTCAATTCTATGATACAGGTGACTTTGGAGAAAAGTCCCTTTTATAAATAATTAAACTAATTCTAATAAAAGAATATAGTTTAAAAAAATTAAAACATTTAATTTTACTACAAGTTGATGTTTGCTATGTGTTCAAGCAGACTACATTTTCTACCTAGTTGTGTTAATCTGTGGGTTGAGTGTCCCTCTTTTGCACTGTAGTGAATATCTGATTTTGAGGAATGGCTTCTTTATGCAGTTTTTGTAGTCCAGGGTTTCAGTCTTCATTTGATTCTGCATATGGGATCTCAGGTTACGCCCAGATCTGTAGAAAGAGAGAGAGCTGAACACTCCTGTACGGCACTGACTCTCCTATCAAACCTTAAATTAACCTTGGAAAGGCGATCACATCAGTGGCACAGAGTATCAGCAGCAATGATATCATGTAACCCCACAGCAGCTCAAACTTAGCGCTTCTGCTAGCACCTTGTGGGGATTTTTACTTGGCTTTGCTGTTCATGTTTTACAGTTTTATACCTTCCTTACTTCCTCTAGAGTAGTTTTCCTCTAACAGCCCTTCCTCCTCACCCCCTTTTATTCAACAATTGAAGAGAGAAGCACTCGAAGCAGGTTCTCCTGGCACTTACTCGGAGGGTGTGGTCCCAGGAGCCCGAGCAGAAGGCGGTCCCGTCGGGAGAGACCCGCAGGGTGCTGACACGGTTCTCATGTCCGAACAGAATGGACACACGGGACCCCTTCAGCACATCCCAGACATTGATGGTGTAATCGTTATAGCCTGCGAACAGCAGGCGACCTGCAGAGA